CAAAGAAAGTAGACTAATAGGAGCTCCTACATCATTAAGTTGTCTCACCTACTTTTTTATAGTCTTCTCTCGCAGCCGTTACGAGGTTCGTTCCCAGGTCTCTCCCACTTAGAGGAGAGTGACCTGGGAACGAGCCTTGTAACGGCTGCTAGAGTAGACTAACTTTTTTATGGTGTTAACCATTTTACTCAACTGTTTCTTTAGAAAACCCAAAGCAGCTGACACTATGACTGTTATACACACAATATTTGCTTTCCGATCCTCCCTATCTTATCTTTGATGATAATACCTTTTCTTCTCGACTACGTTATTTTCAATAAAGTTTATCAACTTTAAACACATTTGTACCTTGAGAAAAAATAGACCCTGCAGACTTGGTTCCCTGACTGACACTGGGTGCAGCTGTGGTTTGTCCCTTGCTTTCCTTGGCTGGTGATTCCAAATGATTAACCCTGACGTCATTCTCGTAGTCATTGCTCACGAGATTTCCCATCATACACTTCGACCTTTAGAATTCAAATTCAGTATCTGCTGGTACCCTCTCCATTGTTTTTTGGTCAAGATATTTGGCCTGTTGACAGATAAAATTAGCATAAGATAAGGCAACTGCTTCATGTAAGCATTTTTTTAAATACATACAAAAAACACATACACTTGCAGATTAATATTACATAATATAGAAATATGCATACATATACAGCCTTTTGCAAAAATTATGAGAATTGTCTAAATATCTAAATATCATAATATCCATATCCATATATTGTCCGGAACACGCGGGTTTGCTAGAATAATTCATTGTTGACATCGAGAAAATGTTCAGAACTACGGATAAGTCCGTCGCCAAAAAAAAAAACTAAACTACAAAGACAAGGGACTAAGGGCATCGCGCGGGATTACCCATCATGCACTTGATATTATGATATTTAGATATTTACAAAATTCGCATAATTTTTGCAAAAGGCTGTATGGATCATATATATATATATACAGCTGTTTGCAATAATTCTGACCCCCCTACACTATTAATATTCACATATATCAAAATAGCCTTAGAAAGCTGCCATTCAACTAGAACATGTTTGGTCATGCATTCTCGCTTCGAAAATCGACATTTGTGTTCTACCAGACAACCTTTTTGAAATAGTCACTAAATAAAAAGCTGTTTGCAATAATTCTGACCCGCTCTGCCTTATTTCATATATATCAAACTGACCTTAAATATTATGGGATATCATGACTGATATATTTTTTGAGTTGCCCAGAATGAGTACTTTCCCAAAAAAATATCAGCAATAATTTTTGATAATAAATGTTAAGACAGAAAACTGATAGTTTTCCTTGTGTATTAATTGCTTTTTTTGGCTAAATCGG